CTTCTTTTCCACACAAACACTCACCCTCATTCGCAGAGGACACACACGCATACTCACACACACACACACACACATATGCTCTGACAAACACACTCGCAGCTGTTGATACTTTTCTCTCTGATGACCGCCCGGCTGCGGAGCCTGAAGGAATCCGGGAGAGCTCGGTGTCTGTTCGCAGCTCGACCCGGGAGCACCGATAAGAAAAGCTCCTGACGGGACGAGCGGAGGGACTTGGTTTTATCGCCCGCTAACCCGGCTCTCGCTCTCAGTCGCTGGTATCCCGCTGCTCCCCCTTTCATTCGGCTCTTTCTCCCGGCTTTTCTGTTGGATTTTTTAATTAATTTTTTTTTTTTACGCGCGCGTGAGCTCGGCGGTGGAACGCGGAGACATGAGTTTTGCCCGGGACCGCTGCCTGCTCTCGCCCATTCACTGACCGAGGAGGGAAAAAGAAGGTTGGTTTGACTTGGATTACGAGTTTAGGTGACTTATCTTGTGCACGCGGGGGTGTGCGTTCGCGTTTTGAGCCGTCGTTTGGATGCATTTACATCATAGTCCCATTCAAATGCGTTGAAAAACATGGCTCGGTGTTGGTTTGCCCCTCACGTGCTACGGACGAGACTTAACCACCCATACGCAGTTATACGCAGTTTTAGGGGGAATTCCATGCTGGTGTGACGGCATGGCCACACACACACGCACACACACACACACACACACACACACACACACACACACTAGCACTGTGAACACTCCTTGTCGTAACAGTGGTGCGAGTATAGGCTGAGGAAGATTAGCTAGCGTTATTAACTAACGTTCATGAGCGGGAATTGCCCCTCTCCTCGTTAGTATAGTTGTCAGTATCCCCGTCTGTCACGCGGGAGACCCGGGTTCGATTCCCCGACGTGGAGATGCATATGTATAATTTTCTATTTTGAAAGTCGCTTTGCATAAACATGGGGTAAGCCGGGCTCCGGCAGAAACCCCCTCATGTGCCGTTAGGGCTGCCGGAGGGTCCACTCGAACCCCCGGGCGTTTGGCTCTTACACTCCCCCATAGCTTTACCACCGGGCTCGTTCACACGGACGTGTTGGGACAGGGAGAGCACCTCACCCGTCTGCTTGCGTGCACAAAACGGGGTCAACCCTCCAGCTCCCAGCGTGCGTGCCCAGCCTTTGCTTTTTGCAGGTTTATAATTAGCAGCCCAAGGATTCTTTCCGGGTATTGTTGCTGCTGGGGTCACAAGACAACCCAGAAGGTGGGTTGTCTATATTTAGGGGTGGCAGGCAGGCTGGCTGGCTTTGAAGATAGGAGGTGTGTGTGAGTGGAGTAGGAGTGGGCGTGGGTCCATCATGTCTCACTCCGCACTGTTGGTCTCCCACCCCCTGATATTTTCAGTTTGGTTATGTATCTTCCAGCCTTTGACCCAGAGTTTATTCCCTTAACAGAGGCTTTAAGGTAACGGAGGAGAGAACATTTGAAGGAAGAGAAAGAGAAACGGATAGAAAAGTAAGAACAGAGACAGTGACGGAGAGACTCAGGGGGTGGATGTGGACTTCCAGAGCGTCTGTCATCAAATGGAGGTGGAGAGCTGCCTGTCCTCTGAACCACCGGCTCTTATCTAGAGACTCTTATGCTCCAAATGTCAGAGGAGCACTGAGGCATTGGGGTTAACACTGTCTGAGAGATATACAGCAAGAAAGTTCTGATGGTTAAAAATAAATGGGTGGAAACCATACCAGACCCATACCAGTAGGCCGTGACTTCTCTGAGGGTTTGTTTTGTTAATGCTCACTTCCTCGTATGACAAAAGCAGAATTACAATTCACCAGCAAGAAAATAATACCAAAGAGTCATTGGTTAAAATCCAGGGAGGCCGTCCGGGTTGGGTTGAAAGAGATGGAGCGGCAGAAAGTTTTGTCGATTCGTCTACATTCGAACAAACGGCCCCGGGTCTGTTATCCAGACGTGAGCGGGATACGCCATTAACCCGCGGCTCCTGGCACAGGTCGGGATGTGGAAGCCTCGTCCAAACAGCGATGTGCACATTCCTGTGTAATCTGCGTAATTGAATTGGGGCATCTGAACCTCAGTCAAGTTGCGTTTATTCAAGCTGTAAGGATTACGGAGACGGATACACACCCACACATGCTAGTGGACGTATAGCTATCCTTGGCCGTGGGTGATCGGTGGGGATGGTGACGATAGCTGGGATGTTTAGAGAATAGAATATCGCTGTCGTGCTCATGCTAAACATATGATACTATGTAATTAGTGACAGCTGATCAGTGTCCAAACATTCCCAGTACAGAAACTGCTTAGCTGTGCAGGTTTATGTATGTGTACACATAACTATAATCTACGTGTGCACACTGGTACAACAAAAACAAGATGACACACAGCTCTGACTCTCACCAGTGAGGTGTCCCAGCTTGTTTAGCTAATAAGCAACAGATGCGATTCGATTTGCTGACTACCTTTTTAGAGCCGAAGCCTCTTTTTCATGCGCCCCCGCTCGATTCCTCGTAAGGAAAAAGGCAGTCAGTGTCATTATTGTGATCCTAACACCAATTTCCTTTGTGGAAATTCAAAAGAACCCTTTTCAAAGGCTCTGATCTGTATTCCGCGCCAGCATGTTTCTACCCAGTGGTTATTTGTAAGCTTCGGTTTGCTTTTGGAGCTACGGGGTCATCTGGGGTCACGCGGCGAAAGGTCGCGGTGGCCTTGCCCGAAGCTTCTGTGGCGCTCTAGCGCTTTCCAGCGAACGCGGCCCGCCTCGTCTGGCCGCCACGCGTCTGCCCAGCCGAAATCAATTATCACCCACCGTCCAGCAGCCGGTCGATCTCTGATTTCTGCTTTGTTCCCCAATGGAACCTGCACTGCAGGCAAACTGTTGATTGTTGGGTACCTGGAGCGTGGAACTTTGGGGTGTACGAGCTCTCACAGAAGAAAAACTAAACAAAAACGAAAGGCCAAAGCCCTCGCACGACCCTCCCAACCTGTGGATTTCTCTGGATGGAGCCGGGCTGAGATGGCCGGCGATTCGATGGGAGGGGGGTGGGGGGGGACTTTATTTTGGTGACGCTCCAGCTGCTGCATTCATCCACAAAGCATTCCACCCATGCAGCACATTTCAGGCACGTCCCGGTCGTGCCAGTCCCACTTGTCATGTGCTGAAGTTTCTTTATCTATTTCTGCGTTTTGGGCGTCCCGGCGTTGGTCAGTAAATCCTCAGATTTGCCTTTTTTTTGTTTTGTTTTTTGCTATTGGTCCAATGAGCCGTGCAGGCAGAGGTATGAATTTGGGATCGCATTGCATAACTCGGTGGACTCCAGCTGTCTCCACTTAAAGCAGATTTTTGCGGGGCTCTGATCCATTTCCGTAGTATAAATCGCAGCTTTTCTGGAATCAGGTAGTGCTTCCTGTGGTCCCAGGGGATTTCTAGAGATAACGTATAGGAAATTCTGGTGATTCGATGTGTCACGACGGCCTTTTTCTGTGCAGACACACTGACAACGATACATCAGGGTGTTTTCTTTTTCCTGCCATAGATTTTTTTTTCCCCCACAAGCTCTATACAAAAGAGGTTTTATTTATTTCAGCTTCTGAAATAATCCTCATCTCCTGGGAAGCGGTTGTAGAAACGTCCCCTGCCCATTTTCCAGCGTGGAAGATGTGTGTGGGAAAAGGTGTGGGATGAGCCAACGGGAACTTTTCCTACCCCCCCGCCACCACGGTTCTCCACGCTGAGCCGTGTGTTACTGCTCTAATCTCAGCCATCTTTAAAAGTGGCATTTGACCGGAATGAGCAGCTTAGTGGCATCTGTCGAACCAAATCAACCCCCAACCCTTTTCTGCCCGCCATTACTGGCTGGACAGCAGCGAGGGGTCAGAAGTGAGTTAGAGGAAGTCGGCGTTGGCGGGGTGACTCCTGAAGTCTGACTCCCCCCCCTGCTGTCGGACCACCACTGGGCTTTTGAAGACCGAAATCGGAGGGATCGTTGTCTCCTTCTTACTCTATCCCTGTCATTCCTCCGCAAGCAAAGAAACCATCTGCTTACGATCCCATAAGCCCCAACTCTTAATACACCACCAGCTTATCATCCCCCGGTACAATAGGACTCCTGGAGGACTGATTTTCTTCTTTTTTTTTTTTTGGGTTGTTGTCCATATTCACAAAGCCAGTTATTTCTGAGGTCTCATGCGTTTGTCAGTTATCTTTTTCCCTTTATTGGATTTTCTTTTTCCTTTGGCATGCCAACAAAGCCTGTTTTGATTTAGCTGCAGTAGCTCCTTTATCCTGTAAAATGCCTGTTGTCTTGCCAAGTGACCTCCGAGTGAACAGTGGAAGTAAGCCCCCCCACCGGCCCTGGACGATGCGTAGGGTCGGAGTGACCCAAACCCCGGCGCAACGCCCCGTCAGGACCGTGTTATTACACACCAAAACCGAGGTCCTGACCCTGTTGGACAGGAGTGGGATTGTCTTTAAGTCCTACGGTGCTGGGATTGTCTTCCATTACCATAGAAAGTAACAACTTACCACAAGAGTGTCTATAGATAAATTTTAAAAAATGAGGTTGTGATCGTAGTGTGACTCCTGCAAACGTTTAGCAGAAATTACCATGTGACATTTCCTCTGCAAACAAATCTGCTGGGCAGCCTGATGACCGTGTGATTTGCCTCCCACATCTTTGCCGGTGGCTTCGGTTTGCATCGTCCTGACCGGATCCCTCTTTTCCTCAGGTGAGCCGGAGCCGCGGGCGTAGCGCAGACGAGCGAGAGGGCCAGCAGCCATGAGCAGCCCGGGCGACCACCGGGGGGTGGTGACCACCCCTCCCCCGGCCGGCGGGGGAACCAAGGAGCGCTACTTCGACCGGGTGGACGTCAACGACCCCGAGTACATCCGGGCCCGCAACATGTCGCCCGACCTGCGGCAGGACTTCAACGTCCTGGAGCAGAAGAAGCGCGTGACGCAGATACTCCAGAGCCCCGTGAGTACAACCCACCCAAGGTGCACCGGGGGGGTTTGGCCGCACAACCCGTCCCGAAAAGCCGGTGTGACCGGAGACCGGAACGGGCTTTTCTTATAGCCGCAGAGATTTGTTGCCGTGGGTGAATCTATAGTCTTCAGGGTGGAGCCAGTGAGGCTACCTTTTTTATTCTCAAAGGAAAGGGCTTTGCATTCTTCCACTGGCTCAGATGTTACTTTGTGGGATTTGTACGCCCTGCCCATGTCTGTGTTGGTTTTCTGCGGGCGCTCCAGATTCCTCAGCTGAGCTGGCTGCGAGCCAACGGACATAAACATTAGAGTAAAAGTGGGTATTTAACTGCCCTCGATAGGCCGGCAGCGCATAGTTCCACGCCTGCTGGAGCAGGCCGCCATGACTGGCCTTCAAACTGCTTCTCTCCTATCCTATGAGAGCGAAGAGTTTTCTACCTGACCGATGGTCAGTCGTTGTTCCCCAGTCAAAACATTTCTCAAGAGGTTGGAATAATAATAGTTCTTGTGTGCTGGTGTTGCGTCGCTGACCACATAATCGCAGCGGCCGGCGGCTGCCACGCCTGGGCCCAGCTTTACCCACGCCGCTCCTGAAGGCTGGAACAGGTTTAGCCGAGTTAAACAACAGTCAGTAAAAACGCAGGCGCGTCGCTTGGGTTTGCGTCTTAGTATTTTACGGTTAACGAGAAGCTTCCGAGCAACACAGGAGAGAGAAAACAAACCCACAGCCAGTTAGTGTCTCGTTTGTAGCCTTTTCTTCACCCTGACTATCTGCATCATTTATTATGTTATTGACAGCTATGTCGTCTGATATCGGCCATCACTAAAACTGTGCCGTTTTTCTTCTTAAGTTGTGCCCTTTGAACAGAAATTCTGCAAACACAGTGTTTACTCTGCACTGTTGACTTAAGACCAGCGTGCCCCAGATATCCACTTCAGTCTTTATAGTGGGAATAGAGCATATTGGTGTGTGTGTGTGTCTGTGCATCTTTTTGCGTTGCAAATTACTTCGGTGTGACGGAAAAATAAATAGTCCGAGGGGTTAGAGACATGCCACTGGTGCAGAGATAACGTACCAAATCAGGTCGGGTGTCATAAACACGAAGTGTAACACGAAGCCTGGCTGGCTGGACGAGTGCGTTTGATATGGGAGTTGTAGCCGCTTGACGGTTTGACCTCTTCTTTTTCTAAGTTTAACACGCGCTCCACATTCTGCACATGCCTAGTGTGGCTGATGCTTTCAAATGAAACATGCTTCAAATTATATTATTCTGCTATTAGATTTAACCTCAATGCTCTTTATTACTGTTTTGCTAAGAGACTTTAAGTACTTGGCCCAAACAGACAATATTATTTTCCAGCTCTCATTCCTGAAAGTGGAAGCTCGGCCACCTGTTTGTTGCTCAGCCTCTGTGTCGTGTTTATTTTGTATATTAGTCCTGCTTAATGTGGTTTTGAACGCGAGCCAGAAGGCTCAGAGGCAGCTCGCCGCCCTCACGTAAACACAGTTGGCCTCTCATGGCATCGGCGTGGTATCGTTCCCGTTTCCCTCTCAATTTTTTCTCAGTTTGCTAGCCCTTGAATTGCAAAAACAAAACAAACAAACACAGGTCACCAGCTGGGCCTGAACACATGTGCCTCTCTCTCTCTTTCTCTTCCATCCCTTCTTCATCTATCTACTCTGTTTGTTTTCATTCCAGCGTTATGGCTCTAGCGGCCGCTCCAGATTACACGTTTCAGTTGCTCACACGGCAGGTTGTATTTAAAGTCAGACTTATATAGACCAGGCAGGACTGAAACAACTCAGCTGACTTCATTCACTCATCTCATTCAAGCAGCTGTGTTTACCAGTGAGTGTTGTTTTTCTCTCTCAACACGTCTTCTATTTTGCTGCACTAGGATCTGTAATTCATATGGATGTAGGGGATTCCTAACTTAGTAAGTCAAATAATGTATTTAAAAAAGAATCATTCAGATAGTTTCAGTTCTATTCTCGTCCGGGGTGAATTCCTCCCGAAGCGATGTCCTCTTTCCCACAAAGACCATCTTTGTGGAGTGTGCTGCTTAAACGATCCGGTGGACAGACACTTGGGTCTCTGCTGTGGAGCCTCCTGTGTTACATTTGGCCCCTTAGCTGTTTATCTGATTCTCCCCAGGTCTGTGGGTTCTGGTGGTCTGCCTTCTCTGAGCATGCCTGTTCTGGAAGCATATTCTTTCCATCTCCTAAATGATGGATTGGAGGACTCTCTGATATTTTATTTTTGTAGAAATTCTTATTTCTAACCTTCCCTGATCATTTACACCAAGCTGCCTGGGTGATGTGTTACGGATCGTGGAGTCTTTTACAACAGGTGCTAATGTATGAAAATCATCTGACACTTGGATCACCTAGGGGGCAGTTAAAGGAATTATGGAACTTCTGAGCCTAATCGAGGTCCATAACATATAATCCCCAAATGGATCCTTCTCTTACTTTTTCAAGATGCTTTTAATTCTGAATACAGATAATCGTTGAGTCAAATCCATGATTTCACTCACTGCAAATAAAGTATGACACAGTGTTTCAGAAAGAGACGTGTTCAAACTACTTCTGTACAGGAAATGGAGCCAAAATATACTTTAGGATTGTTAAAAAACCATCTGCCTGTCTTAACATGAACTATTGGTCATTATATTCACTTACTGGACATCTGACTTATTCATATTTAAGAAACGTTACTGTATCCTATTAAAAATCCATATGTGAAAGAACTCTAAGGAAGTTTTGATGTTATTTTCTAACCTTAAATGTTTCCTAGGATATACCAAAATTAAGTATCCCTTGAAGGTAATTTGAGAAAGAACTTGTTTGTGTCTTTGATTGCATTTCGTTACAAAAAAATAGATCTATTTGAACCTGATCTATGGCTAGGTTTTATCAAGGCACAGTTTTTAAATCAGGATATTGATACATTTCTGACTAAATCTCTGGTAAGCCTCTCCATGTGTGTTTGGGGCCGCTGAGGTTCGGCTGTTTGCCTCTGAGAAAAGGCTGAGGGTAACAGCCGTCAGGAGCAGGAGATTTAATCAGATGGAATTGAATTTGAGTTGTACTTCCACATGCTGCTTCTATTTTAATCTTTACTCATCCTGCCATTATTCTCTCCTCCCCTCTTGCCGTTTTCTCTCCTGCTCCGCACATGTTCAGCTCGTGGCCCAATTTTGTTCCTCATCCACGGAAATGATTTTCTGTCACCAAGTGGTAAACGCACTCCGCCTCATTTGCACTTGTCCTGTGGTTTTCAAAGGAAATGTACCCCCAGCGGCACTTTCCACAGGGCACAAGTGGACCACTAAGGTTTCCTCGGTGGATTCTGTTGAGAACCCCCTCTTGTGAGGTCCATGTCACAGATTTTCTCTCTCCCCCCCCCCCCCTTCTTTCTTTTAAAAATCCTCAAGGACTCATTTGATACACCATTAGCAGTTGAAGTAAGTCCTTGGAGTCTATTCAAAACAACCCCGTTTCCTCTCCGAGCCAGATTTTGACAGATGTTTTTTCGGTTCGGCATTTTACGAGACCCCTCGCTCGCTGAACTTTCAGCAAAGGTTCAGCGCCCCCAGGATCCTCGAGCAGTGCGGATCATCGCAGCGAAAACGTAGACTCTCGGCAGACTCTGCGGCCTCAAAATCACGAGCAGAAATCCAAAAGACTTTCCAAAATGGAAACAAGAGGTTTAGTTGCAGAAACTCCTCGTTTTTTTTATCTCAACGTCCACAATTGTGTCTACCGTACCACGGGGCATCCGGTGACGCCGCCCCTATTTCATGGTCGTCTCGATCTCCAGACGGGTGTTCTTTCTTTTTTTTTTTAGGGTTAAATATGGCAACGTGGTGAGACTTTACAGCAGCAGTCGGGGACCGGTTTCCCAGCTGAAATGAGGAGGATCGATGGCTCTGGCCACTCGGCAGCTGGGCGCTTCTCCGCTCTGTAACGCAGTCACGCCGCCGGCCTGAAAGGGCGGCTTTGTGCTGACTCGACTGAGGGAGGCTGTGTGTGAAATTACAGGCCTCACCTGGCTCGACTGCGGCCGCGTCTGTGCCCGTTATTAATCCTTTGGGGAGTCCTTCATATCTAACCCTACAAGATTGAGGACTGGAATCGCGGATGGTTCCAATTCGAGCAGCTCAGCTGAATTTCCGTTATCACCTAATAATTCGGGTCACAGCGTTCTTTTTAGTGAACTAAAAAAAGGCAGATTGGAGGAAGTCAGGATGTAATCCTACACTGTTTCAGGAAGTTACACCAGAACAAAACTCGAGTCTTAGAATGGAGCGCTCTGACCTTCCACTTTGAGCCGCAAAAACCTCATTTAGGCTTCACTTGATATTGGCAACCTATTTGAAAACTTCCAAGACTTCAGGAGTCCTGTGAATCTTAAGGATTTTATAACGCTCCAAAATGATCGACGTGGAAAACATTTATATCTCGCGTAATTCTGAAACCGTTCTGAGCAACAGCTTTGTTTGGAGTCACAAAAAAGTCCCATGTTTCAGAGTCACCTCTGTCAGACCTTAATCCCAAGAAAAGAAAACCTCGAAGTCAACAAGAGGGAGAATTTTCTATTTTGTGTCTTCGGTAACCAGGCGGAATGTGGAAAAAATTGACTTTATTAAACGAACCACCAAAGGGCCGATCGCCAACGATCGGATTCTCCTTGAAAGCATCTCGCCTAAAGTAATAAAGTCCGCCATGAGTCCTGGCATTTCCCCCTCGTCCGCGGTTTACCCAGACTGTCTAAAAAAGCCAAAAACCCCCCACAACATTCTACCGCAAACCTTGAAGTCCTTTAAAGAGCGCGCGTTATCTCCCAGTGGATGACTTCTCTCCGTCAGCTCTGTAGCTCCGGTCTCGTTCCTCTTTAAGGCTCCCACCGAGGGCCTGGCCACTCTCCAGCTCCAGCATCAGCTTAATGCTCCGCAGTTTCATTTTGAAAGATTAGCTTTTTCAGTTTGGAGCCGTCCCAGATATACTTTTTTTTTGTTTGTTTGTTTTGCTTGATTGGATTACTTTTATGTTCTTTTTTTCACTGGGCTAAATGGACAGACCGGCTGCGGCTTAATCATTTTGTTCTGTTGTGTAAATGTTGCAGATGTGGTTGAAGGTCATGCAATCACACCACAGCAATTTAAAAAAAAA